TATGATGGTTGGATGTCATTGATGGGGGGGAAGGGAAGGGCGGAGTATGATGGTTGGATGTCATTGATGGGGGGGGGGAAGGGCGAGGGCGGTGTATGATGGTTGCGTTTGGATGTCATTGATGGGGGGGGGAAGGGAAGGGCGGAGTATGATGGTTGCGTTGGATGTCATGATGGTTGCGTTGGATGTCATTGATGGGGGGGAAGGGAATTGGGGGGGCGTTGTATGATGGTTGGATGTCATTGATTTGGGGGGGGGATGGGGGGTGTATGATGGTTGGATGTCATTGATGGGGGGGGGGGTGTATGATGGTTGCGTTGTTTGGCTCATCCGTCTGAAGAGTCCTAGGTGATGAGACAACTCTGCTGACCAATACTGCCAGGATGGGCGTGGCTCTTAATGGGCCTGCAGTAAGGACTGCATGTGTTGCTCTTGTATGGCCCAGTGGTGGTTTGGCTCTGGTTTGGGGGGGGGGCACACAATTGGTTATCAGGTGTTTGCTATGGGTGGAGTCTGGTCTGCTGTGTCCCCTTTCTATGAAGGACTCCGGTGGTGAACAGGATCTCCCTGGACTTCTTCTGTTGTTGGGAAACGCTCAGCCACATTGGGGTGGCCATGGGGGGTATTTACCAGCATTCTGGAAAATCTTTCCAATTCCAGTTTTTGATGACCATTCTTACCATCCCCCATTATTATGTGTTAATCATTGGCCCTGTGTGTAAATATTGGGTGTAGGGTTGTCCTGACCTCCCTGAGGATTAGAGGAGGGCGGTGTTGTTGGGCTCAGCGGCCAATCATCTATCACAATGGTTCCTGAGCCAACCTTTGTCCCGGGTCCGTTTGCTCAGATTCCTATCAGTAATCAGGACTAAGCGGAGTCCTCATCTGCAAACAAAGGAAGAAAATCTTGTAATAAAAGACAATGTAGTATGAGAAGTATTTGTTGGAAGCCCCCGCCCCCCCCCCCCCACCCCCCCCCCCCCCCCCCCCCCCCCCCCCCCCCCCCGCCCCCCCCCCCCCCCCCCCCCCCCCCCCCCCCCCCCCCCCCCCCCCCCCCCCCCCCCCCCCCCCCCCTAGAGGTGCTGGTGGACCTAGATAAAGCATCATGTGACCTATGGAGATATAAATCCCCCCCCCCCCAGCCTTCTACCATGGAAATGATTTTCTGCAGGAACTCTGCCATCTGCCCCCCCTATTGGACCATTGTATTGACGTGTTTATCAGATCTGTGATCCCTTCAGGACATCTTCACATCCTGAGAACAATATAATCTGCCCCCCTGTGCGGGGATTTTATGCCGGTGATCTGGTTGGCTGACCATTGAGGAATCTCAGCAATGCTCCAGCACGCGGCTCGCTGTGATCTCCTGGCGAGTCTGGAATTACGCAGTCAGGTGACCATTGTTCATTGTTGGCGGCTCTCTGATGTGACCTCTGATGGGGGGATAGTGCAGGGAACCACCATCTGTATCGGGGGAGGGAAAGCTACCGGCGCATCGCCCTCTACTTAAAGGAGACTGGGTTCACCTTTGCCAAAAATACCTGCAGGTAGTGTGGGAGGGGGTCTGTAGATAGAAAACAAACTGCTCACTACAATATCCACTCTCCCCGGACCCCGCATTCACTATATCCCCTCCCCCCGGACCCCCGCATTCAGTATATCCCCCTCCCCCTGGACCCCGCATTCAGTATATCCCCTCTCTCCCGGACCCCGCATTCACTATATCCCCTCTCCCCGGACCCCGCATTCACTATATCCGCTCTCCCTGGACCCCGCATTCAGTATATCCATTCTCCCCGGACCCCGCATTCAGTATATCCCCTCTCCCCGGACCCCGCATTCACTATACCCGCTCTCCCCGGACCCCGCATTCAGTATATCCATTCTCCCCGGACCCCGCATTCAGTATATCCCCTCTCCCCGGACCCCGCATTCACTATATCCGCTCTCCCCGGACCCCGCATTCACTCTATCCTCTCCCCGGACCCCGCATTCACTATATATCGCTCTCCCCCGGACCCCGCATTCACTATATCCGCTCTCCCCCGGACCCGCATTCACTATATCCGCTCTCCCCGGACCCCGCATTCACTATATCCGCTCTCTCCCGGACCCCGCATTCACTATATCCGCTCTCCCCGGACCCCGCATTCACTATATCCCCTCTCCCCGGACCCGCATTCACTATATCCGCTCTCCCCGGACCCCGCATTCACTATATCCGCTCTCCCCGGACCCCGCATTCACTATATCCGCTCTCCCCGGACCCCGCATTCACTATATCCGCTCTCCCACAGTACACACAACATGGAAATGCAATTATTTTAGTAAATATAAACTGATAAATCCCTTTTCCCATCAGCAGTATAGAGCAGTCTTGTGACTTCTATCAGTGTCCAGCAGAGGCTGTCCTATGAGGCTGCATGACCCTTGACCCTCTGATTGGCCCTGAGCTGATCACGTGCACCCTCCCAAAAAAAAAAAAAAAACACTCTAGCAATACACACACCAAACTGAGCATGTGCAGTGTGACTCCACACCATATGTCTTAGGAGATAAGAGGGGGCACTGGAAGAAGGGGAGGATCAGAGAAGACAGGATCAAACAGCCTTTTTACACAATGTGTAGAATTAACCCCTTAGGTCCCACAGAGTATAACACGCATGCGTTGCTGCATCTACAGACTGGTGTCACGGCTCAGGTCATGCGGGTCTGGTGTCACGGCTGCTGGTCTGGTGTCACGGCTGCGGGTCTGGTGTCACGGCTGCGGGTCTGGTGTCACGGCTGCGGGTCTGGTGTCACGGCTGCTGGTCTGGTGTCCCCATCTGGTGATCCCTACAGTCCCTCCAACCCATAGGAGGTATATACTGTATACACGGGGGGGTCTATGTAGGAGGTATATACTGTATACACGGGGGGGGGTCAGTAGAAGGTATATACTGTATACACGGGGGGGTCTATGTAGGAGGTATATACTGTATACACGGGGGGGGGGGGGGTCTATGTAGGAGGTATATACTGTATACACGGGGGGGGGGTCTATGTAGGAGGTATATACTGTATACACATGGGGGGGGGGTCAGTAGAAGGTATTATACTGTATACACGGGGGGGGGGGTCTATGTAGGAGGTATATACTGTATACACGGGGGGGTCTCTGTAGGAGGTATATACTGTATACACGGGGGGGTCTCTGTAGGAGGTACTGTATACTGTATACATGGGGGGTCTGTGTAGGAGGTATATACCGTATACACACGGGGGGGGGTCAGTAGAAGGTATATACTGTATACACGGGGGGGTCTCTGTAGGAGGTATAACCGTATACACACGGGGGGGGGGGTCAGTAGTAGAAGGTATATACTGTATACACGGGGGGGTCTATGTAGAAGGTATATACCGTATACACGGGGGGGTCTGTAAGAGGTATATACTGTATACACGGGGGGGGGTCTATGTAGAAGGTATATACTGTATACACGGGGGGGTCTGTAGGAGGTATATACTGTATACACGGGGGGGTCTATGTAGAAGGTATATACTGTATACACAGGGGGGGGGTCTATGTAGGAGGTATATACTGTATACACGGGGGGGGGGGGGTATATACTGTATACATGGGGGGGGTCTATGTAGAAGGTATATACTGTATACACGGGGGGGTCTGTAGGAGGTATATACTGTAAACACGGGGGGGGGGTCTATGTAGGAGGTATATACTGTATACACGGGGGGGGGGGGTCTGTAGGAGGTATATACTGTATACACAGTGGGGGGGTCTGTAGGAGGTATATACTGTATACACGGGGGGGGGTCTCTGTAGGAGGTATATACTGTATACACGGGGGGGGTCTCTGTAGGAGGTATATACTGTATACACGGGGGGGTCTCTGTAGGAGGTATATACTGTATACACGGGGGGGGGTCTATGTAGGAGGTATATACTGTATACACGGGGGGGGGTCTGTAGGAGGTATATACTGTATACACGGGGGGGGGGTCTGTAGGAGGTATATACTGTATACACGGGGGGGGGTCTGTAAGAGGTATATATACTGTATACATGGGGGGTCTAGGGTCTATGTAGGTAAAGGTATATACTGTATACACGGGGGGGGTCATGTAGGAGGTATATACTGTATACACGGGGGGGGGGGTCTGTAGGAGGTATATACTGTACACACGGGGGGGGTCTATGTAGGAGGTATATACTGTATACACGGGGGGGGGGGGTCTGTAGGAGGTATATACTGTATACACGGGGGGGGGGGGGGTCTATGTAGGAGGTATATACTGTATACACGGGGGGGGTCTATGTAGGAGCGGTATATACTGTATACACGGGGGGGGGTCTATGTGTAGGAGGTATATACTGTATACACGGGGGGGGGTAGGGGTATATACCTGTACAACACGGGGGGGTCTATGTAGGAGGTATATACTGTATACACGGGGGGGGTCTGTAGGAGGTATATATATACTGTATATACATACACGGGGGGGGGGGGTCTGTAGGAGGTATATACTGTATACACACGGGGGGGGGGGGGTAGGTATATACTGTATACACGGGGGGGGGGGGTTGGGTATATACTGTATACACGGGGGGGGGGTCTGTAGGAGGTATATACTGTATTACACGGGGGGGGTCTATGTAGGAGGTATATACTGTATACACGGGGGGGGAGGGGGGGGGTATATACTGTATACACGGGGGGGGGGGGAGCATGGGGGGGGGGTCTCTGCGGAATGACGTCAGAGCCGTTCACATGTTCGATGTGTTTCCCATGCAGTCAGAACGGGGCGGTCCTGTGAATAAAGCTCCACCCACGTCCCCTGCTAAATCCCTCCCTCTGCCCTCTACTCTTACCTCATCTCGCCCCTCCCCTCCAATCGCATGTCCCCGCCCTGGGCCGGGAAAACAGTGTGACTCCGCCCCGTGTCCCAACAGGCAGTGCGCGGAGTGTCCGGGGGGGTCACATGACTGCCGGTGAGGGCGGATGGATCCCCCGGGAGGTGAAGGACCGGATCCTGGAGAACATCAACCTGTCCGTGAAGAAGGTGAGACCGAGGGGGACACCCGGGAGGGGCGAGAGAGGGAGGGGGGGACACCCGGGAGGGGCGCGAGACCAATAACTTCACCTCATAGAACACAAATACTCCTCCCCCACTGTACACCCCAATGTACCCCCCCCTCCCCCACTGTACACCCCCAATGTACACACCCCTCCCCCCATCATCAACGTATATACCCCAATGCATCTCTATATATTGTATCCCCCCCATATATACTGTATACTCCCCCTGTATACCAACACCCAGATATATCCTCCTGTATACTGTACAGAGGAGCTTACACTTACTCCTGCTGTTCCCCCCATCCCCTGTGCCCATTATGAGGGGTTCCCCCCATACCCCTGTGCCCATTATGAGGGGTTCCCCCCATCCCTGTGCCCATTATGAGGGGTTCCCCTGTGCCCCATTATGAGGGGTTCCCCTGTGCCCATTATGAGGGGTTCCCCCGTGCCCGTTATGAGGGGGTTCCCCCCATCCTCCTCGTGCCCGTTATGAGGGGTTCCCCCCCATGAGGGTCCAGTTATGAGTTGTTCCCACCATCCCCCGTGCCCATTATGAGGGGTTCCCCCCCATCCCCGTGCCCATTATTGAGGGGTTCCCCCCATCCCCGGGGGTTCCATCCCCATGAACCATTATGAGGGGTCCCCCCCATCCCCCCATTATGAGGGGTTCCCCCCATCCTGTGCCCATTATGAGGGGTTCATACCTTCCCCTGTGCCCATTCGATGAGGGGTTCCCCCGTGCCCATTATGAGGGGTTCCCCGTGCCCGTTATGAGGGGTTCCCCCCCATCCCCGTGCCCATTATGAGGGGTTTCATACCCCCGTGCCATTATGAGGGGTTCCCCCGTGCCCGTTATGAGGGGTTCCCCCTAGTGGCCCATATGAGGGGTTCCCCCCATGAGGGGTTCCCCCGTGCCCGTTATGAGGGGTTCCCCCCCCCATCCCCCGGTCCGTGCCCATTATGAGGGGTTCCCCCGTGCCCATTATGAGGGGTTCCCCCCCCCCGTGCCCGTTATGAGGGGTTCCCCCCCCATCCCCCGTGCCCGTTATGAGGGTTCCCCCCCATCCCCGTGCCCATTATGAGGGGTTCCCCCCCCATTATGAGGGGTTCCCCCGTGCCCGTTATGAGGGGTTCCCCCGTGCCCGTTATGAGGGGTTCCCCCGTGCCCGTTATGAGGGGTTCCCCCCATCCCCGTGCCCGTTATGAGGGGTTCCCCCCCATCCCCGTGCCCGTTATGAGGGGTTCCCCCCCATCCCCGTGCCCGTTATGAGGGGTTCCCCCCCATCCCCGTGCCCGTTATGAGGGGTTCCCCCCGTGCCCGTTATGAGGGGTTCCCCCGTGCCCGTTATGAGGTTCCCACCATCCCCCCATGCCCATTATGAGGGGTTCCCCCCATCCCCGTGCCCGTTATGAGGGGTTCCCCCCATCCCTGTGCCCGTTATGAGGGGTTCCCCCCGTGCCCGTTATGAGTTGTTCCCACCATCCCCGTGCCCATTATGAGGGGTTCCCCCGTGCCCATTATGAGGGGTTCCCCCCCATCCCCGTGCCTGTTATGAGGGGTTCCCCCGTGCCCATTATGAGGGGTTCCCCCCCATCCCCGTGCCTGTTATGAGGGGTTCCCCCCCATCCCCGTGCCCGTTATGAGGGGTTCCCCCCCATCCCCGTGCCTGTTATGAGGGGTTCCCCCCGTGCCCATTATGAGGGGTTCCCCCATCCCATCCCCGTGCCCATTATGAGGGGTTCCCCCCCCACCCCCGTGCCCATTATGAGGGGTTCCCCACGTGCCCTCTGGTCCTCATTGAGGCCTCATCTCCACCCCCTCCCGTAGCTCTTCTATTCATTGGTCTTAGAGGGGTTGCCCCCCCATCCCCCCGCTGCCCAGCTGTGTATGAGGGGTTCCCCATCCCCTCCATGTGACTCTGCAGTAAACAACAACATTGCTTCTAGAGAGGTGAGATCCCAGCAGATCCCAGCGATGTCGGGAATCATCTCCCCCCAGATCCCGGATCGGGTCACACACACAGATCTGACTGGAGGGAACATGGGGGGGGGGGGGGTCAGCTGTCACTCAACTGATGTCAATCTCACTGGCTTCTCCATTATACCGGGAGGCCTGCTCACCGACATTGGGAGGGGGGGGGGTCCTGCTCACCGACATTGGGAGGGGGGGGGGGTGTCCTGCTCACCGACGTTGGGAGGGGGGGGGTGTCCTGCTCACCGACGTTGGGAGGGGGGGGGGGTGTCCTGCTCACCGACGTTGGGAGGGGGGGGGGGGTGTCCTGCTCACCGACGTTGGGAGGGGGGGGGTGTCCTGCTCACCGACGTTGGGACGTTGGGGGGGGGGGGGGTGTCCTGCTCACCGACGTTGGGAGGGGGGGGGGGGGTGTCCTGCTCACCGACGTTGGGAGGGGGGGGGGGGGGGGGTGTCCTGCTCACCGACGTTGGGAGGGGGGGGGGTGTCCTGCTCACCGACGTTGGGAGGGGGGGGGGTGTCCTGCTCACCGACGTTGGGAGGGGGGGGGTGTCCTGCTCACCGACGTTGGGAGGGGGGGGGGGTGTCCTGCTCACCGACGTTGGGAGGGGGGGGGGGTGTCCTGCTCACCGACGTTGGGAGGGGGGGGTGTCCTGCTCACCGACGGGGGGGGGGGTGTCCTGCTCACTGACGTTGGGGGGGGGGGGGTGTCCTGCTCACCGACATTGGGAGGGGGCTTGCTTACTGACAGTGGGGAGGGGAGCATGCTCTCTGACATTGCTTTCCTACATTGGGGGGGGGTTGCACACAGACATGGGGGGGGGGGACGGCTCAGCTTCCATTTTCTGTCTGAATTCCTCAATAGCCGCAAAGGATATAAATCACCAAATGTCTCTGCAAACCCAGATATTCCCTTGTAAAAGTAGCAGTGACACCATCTCTGTGCTGTACACAGCCTGTGCTGGAAGCAGAGCTGCGGGAGGGATCCAGGAAGCTCCACCCACTACAGAAAACTAGAGGAGGGGGCGGAGACGAGACCAGTCCCCCCGCACAAGGAGGGAGAGCAGAGCTGTGGGAGGGGCCTAACAGACTGCAGGCAGAGACTACAGGAGGGGGCGGAGACTAGACAGTCCTGCACAAAGGGAGCGCAGAGCTGTGGGAGGGGCCTAACAGGACTACAGGAGGGGGCGGAGACGAGACCAGTCCCCCCGCACTAGGAGGGAGCAGCAGTGAGCGGTCTTCATTCCAGGAAGTGTCACCCTGGAGGACGGCTCAGATCTCCGAGGTTCCGGAAGACACGGGACGGATGTGTTATCCCGGAGTGCGGCTTGTACCATAATCCCGCCTGGTTGGCTCCTGGGCTCACTTCCCCCTCCTGCCTTCTCCATAGAGAAGGCCGGCAGTGTGGCCCCGTCTCTCCCTGCGGGGGACCCGTCACCCCTCCCCGGAGTACACAGTGTGGTCGGCTCTTTGTCTGAGCTGAGGCCGATCCTCTGTCATGTGGTCTCGTGACTGCAGCCGTTGTGGTGAGAAGTTCCGTTTTGTGGATTGTTGTGACTGATCCGTCCTGTGTGAGCTCCTCGCCTGAATGGCAGAAAATCCCCCAATCCTGCCGGGCTCCTCTCGGTGAGCGCGCCGGGCTCCTCTCGGTGTACTTCTCCCTGGGCTCCTCTCGGTGTGCGGGCTCCTCTCGGTGAGTGCGGGCTCCTCTCGGTGTGCGGGCTCCTCTCGGTGTGCTGGGCTCCTCTCGGTGTGGCGGGCTCCTCTCGGTGTGCGGGCTCCTCTCGGTGTGCGGGCTCCTCTCGGTGTGCGGGCTCCTCTCGGGTGTGCGCGCGGGCTCTCTCTCTCGGTGTGCGCGCTGGGCTCCTCTCGGGGTGCGGGCGCCGGGCTCCTCTCGGGGTGCGGGCGCGCGGGCTCCTCTCGGTGTACTTGCGCGCTGGGCTCCTCTCGGGGTGTGCGCCTGGGCTCCTCTCGGGGGGTGCGCGCTGGGCTCCTCTCGGGGGGTGAGCGCTGGGCTCCTCTCGGGGGGTGAGCGCTGGGCTCCTCTCGGGGGGTGAGCGCTGGGCTCCCCTCGGTGTACTTCTCCCTGGGCTCCCCTCGGTGTACTTCTCCCTGGGCTCCTCTCGGTGTGCGGGCGCCGGGCTCCCTCGGGGGGTGTACTTCTCCCTGGGCTCCTCTCGGTGTGTGCGCCGGGCTCCTCTCGGGGGGTGAGCGCTGGGCTCCTCTCGGGGGTGAGCGCTGGGCTCCTCTCAGTGTGCGCTGGGCTCCTCTCGGTGTACTTCTCCCTGGGCTCCCTCTCGGGGGTGAGCGCCGGGCTCCTCTCGGGGGGTGTACTTCTCCCTGGGCTCCCTCGGTGGGGTGAGCGCTGGGCTCCTCTCGGGGGTGAGCGCCGGGCTCCTCTCGGTGTACTTCTCCCTGGATACCCCATATGCTGGGAGGATAAGTGACCCTGGTATGTGTATGTATGTGGGATGGGGACCCTGGATTGTAAGCTCTTGGGGGCGGGGACTGCTGGCAGTGTACATTCCCAGGTGTCCGTCATCCTCCGGTGAGACCTGTTTCAGTATCTACAGAGCAGAAGCAGCCGAGAATTTACAATGTGCTGACGGCAGCGGTTTCCTCCTTCACAGCCGGCTTCGCTGGGTCGGGATTTCTCTGTCAGACCTGATGAACCAGCTTGGCGTCTCCAGTCTGCGCCCAGCGATGGGAATACGGGGGGGAGCCGTTCTGTTGTGCTCCGTGTGATCGATCGTCCGCATTCACATCCATGTACCGATCCACACACATGTATGACGGGCTGACTGTACCTGTGTGGGATGTACAGGGGTTCCATGACAGGCGGCCGGCTGCACAGATCTGTGACTAGAGAGACACGTGTGTCCAATACACGGATCACATCCCAACAGACTCCATTCTGGTCCATTGGACTTACACGGGGGGGACACGCATGGAGATCTGTGCAGCCAGCCGCCTGTCACTGCACACGTCTGCATGGAACACCTGTGACTGCACACGTCTGCATGGAACACCTGTGACTGCACACGTCTGCATGGAACACCTGTGACTGCACACGTCTGCATGGAACACCTGTGACTGCACACGTCTGCATGGAACACCTGTGTGCACACTGCACTGCACACGTCTGCATGGAACACCTGTGACTGCACACGTCTGCATGGAACACCTGTGACTGCACACGTCTGCATGGAACACCTGTGACTGCACACGTCTGCATGGAACACCTGTGACTGCACACGTCTGCATGGAACACCTGTGACTGCACACGTCTGCATGGAACACCTGTGACTGCACACGTCTGCATGGAACACCTGTGACTGCACACGTCTGCATGGAACACCTGTGACTGCACACGTCTGCATGGAACACCTGTGACTGCACACGTCTGCATGGAACACCTGTGACTGAACACCTGTGCACACGTCTGCATGGAACACCTGTGACTGACTGCACACGTCTGCATGGAACACCTGTGACTGCACACGTCTGCATGGAACACCTGTGACCTGTGACTGCACACGTCTGCATGGAACACCTGTGACTGCACACGTCTGCATGGAACACCTGTGACTGCACACGTCTGCATGGAACACCTGTGACTACACACGTCTGCATGGAACACCTGTGACTGCACACGTCTGCATGGAACACCTGTGACTGCACACGTCTGCATGGAACACCTGTGACTGCACACGTCTGCATGGAACACCTGTGACTGCACACGTCTGCATGGAACACCTGTGACTGCACACGTCTGCATGGAACACCTGTGACTGCACACGTCTGCATGGAACACCTGTGACTGCACACGTCTGCATGGAACACCTGTGACTGCACACGTCTGCATGGAACACCTGTGACTGCACACGTCTGCATGGAACACCTGTGACTGCACACGTCTGCATGGAACACCTGTGACTGCACACGTCTGCATGGAACACCTGTGACTGCACCGGCTGCATGGAACACCTTTCACTACACACGTCTGCATGGAACACCTTTCACTACACACATCTGCATGGAACACCTGTGACTGCCTGCACACGGCTGCATGAACACCTTTCACTACACAGGGCTGCATGGAACACCTTTCACTACACACGGCTGCATGGAACACCTTTCACTACACACGTCTGCATGGAACACCTGTGACTGCCTGCACACGGCTGCATGGAACACCTGTCGCTGCACACTGCTGCATGGAACACCTGTCGCTGCACACGGCTGCATGGAACACCTGTCGCTGCACACGGCTGCATGGAACACCTGTCGCTGCACACGGCTGCATGGAACACCTGTCGCTGCACACGGCTGCATGGAACACCTGTCGCTGCACACGGCTGCATGGAACACCTGTCGCTGCCTGCACACGGCTGCATGGAACACCTGTCGCTGCCTGCACACGGCTGCATGGAACACTGTCGCTGCACACGGTTGCATGGAACACCTGCGCCTCCCATGTGGGTCTATGGATCCGTACAGCCATGTGAATGAGGCTTTGTCCAAGTTGCAGTGCAGGATGGGGGGAGGTATGTATTGGGCCTCATTCACACAGGCGTACTACACCCGGTGAGGGCTGCGTTTGCCCCTTCAGGTGCTCTGACATTCCCATTCATTTCAGTGGGGACACAGCCGCTGCTCCCGATATGACAGCCCTGTGGGGGGAGGGGGGTGCATGGCTCGGAGCGCACACTAGCCACACTCAGCGCCGCACACCCACATGGCTGTCTGATTGGGAGCTGCGTCTGTGTCCATGGAGCACTGCATCCCGACCGACATCAGAGGAACCTCCTGCACAGGAACGCCTGTAGGCCAGCATGGCCCTCACCTGGGCTACCCTATAGGACACCTGTGTGGAGGGGGCCTCATGTGGGGGGGGGGGGTAACAAGGGCTGGACATGGGGCATACCCTATAGGACACCTGTGTGGAGGGGGCCTCATGTGGGGGGGGGGGGGTAACAAGGGCTGGACATGGGGCATACCCTATAGGACACCTGTGTGGAGGGGGCCTCATGGGGGGGTAACAAGGCCTGGACATGGGGCTACCCTATAAGACGCCTGTGTGGAGGGGGCCTCATGTGGGGGGGGGTAACAAGGCCTGGACATGGGGCATACCCTATAAGACGCCTGTGTGGAGGGGGCCTCATGGGGGGGGGGGGGGTAACAAGGGCTGGACATGGGGCATACCCTATAGGACGCCTGTGTGGAGGGGGCCTCATGGGGGGGTAACAAGGCCTGGACATGTGCTCTCGGGCACTATAGTCCCTGTAATGTGGAGCAATGAGGACACCAGGAATATTCCTGCGATGTCAGTGAGGCTCTGCGATCTTCCCATCCTGCGATCTCGCCATCCCGCGTCCCATCCTGCGATCTCCCCATCCCGCGTCCCATCCTGCGATCTCGCCATCCCGCGTCCCATCCTGCGATCTCGCCATCCCGCGTCCCATCCTGCGATCTCGCCATCCCGCGTCCCATCCTGCGATCTCGCCATCCCGCGTCCCATCCTGCGATCTCGCCATCCCGCGTCCCATCCTGCGATCTCGCCATCCCGCGTCCCATCCTGCGATCTCGCCATCCCGCGTCCCATCCTGCGATCTCGCCATCCCGCGTCCCATCCTGCGATCTCGCCATCCCGCGTCCCATCCCGCGTCCCATCCTGCGATCTCGCCATCCCGCGTCCCATCCTGCGATCTCGCCATCCCGCGTCCCATCCTGCGATCTCGCCATCCCGCGTCCCATCCTGCGATCTCGCCATCCCGCGTCCCATCCTGCGATCTCGCCATCCCGCGTCCCATCCTGCGATCTCGCCATCCCGCGTCCCATCCTGCGATCTCGCCATCCCGCGTCTCATCCTGCGTCCCATCCCGATCCCATCCTGCGATCTCGCCATCCTGCGTCCCATCCTGCGTCCCATCCTGCGATCATCGCCATCCCCCTGCGTCCCATCCTGCGATCTCGCCATCCCGCGTCCCATCCTGCGATCTCGCCATCCCGCGTCCATCCTGCGATCCCATCCTGCGTCCCATCCTGCGATCTCGCCATCCCGCGTCTCATCCTGCGATCTCCCATCCTGCGTCCCATCCTGCGATCTCGCCATCCCGCGTCCCATCCTGCGATCTCGCCATCCCGCGTCCCATCCTGCGATCATCTGCGCCATCCCGCGATCTCATCCTGCGTCCCATCCTGCGATCTCGCCATCCTGCGTCCCATCCTGCGTCGCCATCCCGTGTCCCATCCCGTGTCCCATCCTGCGTCCCATCCTGCGATCTCGCCATCCTGCGTCTCATCCTGCGTCCCATCCCGCGTCCCATCCTGCGATCTCGCCATCCCGCATCCCATCCCGCATCCCATCCCGCGTCCCATCCTGCGATCTCGCCATCCCGCGTCCCATCCTGCGATCTCGCCATCCCGCGTCCCATCCTGCGATCTCGCCATCCCGCGTCCCATCCTGCGATCTCGCCATCCCGCGTCCCATCCTGCGATCTCGCCATCCCGCGTCCCATCCTGCGATCTCGCCATCCCGCGTCCCATCCCGCGTCCCATCCCGCAATCTCGCCATCCTGCGTCCCATCCTGCGTCCCATCCTGCGTCTCATCCTGCGATCTCGCCATCCTGCGTCCCGGCGATTCCCGGGATGGTAACATGTCCTCCAGAAACGTCTCCTCCTCTAACGCCTCTTCTCTTCTCAGTTACAGAGTTACTTTGCTGCATGTGAGGATGAGACGCCCGCCATTCGCAACCACGACCGCGTCCTGCAGAGGCTCTGCGAACACCTGGACCACGCGCTGCTCTACGGGTGAGCCCTGACCTCCCGATCCTTCAGCTTCACCATCGGTGGTCGGTCCGTGGTTTTATACCGACCATCAATCGTTGTGTTCTTGTACATTGATGGCTGCCACCCCGACATCGCACTGCGCCAAAGTATCATAGAGAGGTGCCAGCCGCCCCACACTGCGCCAAAGTATCATAGAGAGGTGCCAGCCGCCCCGCACTGCGCCAAAGTAACATAGAGAGGTGCCAGCCGCCCCGCACTGCGCCAAAGTAACATAGAGAGGTGCCAGCCGCCCCGCACTGCGCCAAAGTAACAGAGAGGTGCCAGCTGCCCCGCACTGCGCCAAAGTAACATAGAGAGGTGCCAGCCGCCCCGCACTGCGCCAAAGTAACAGAGAGGTGCCAGCTGCCCCGCACTGCGCCAAAGTAACATAGAGAGGTGCCAGCCGCCCCGCACTGCGCCAAAGTATCATAGAGAGGTGCCAGCCGCCCCGCACTGCGCCAAAGTAATAGAGGTGCCAGCCGCCCCGCACTGCGCCAAAGTAACAGAGGTGCCAGCCGCCCCGCACTGCGCCAAAGTAACATAGAGAGGTGCCAGCCGCCCCGCACTGCGCCAAAGTAACATAGAGAGGTGCCAGCCGCCCGCACTGCGCCAAAGTAACATAGAGAGGTGCCAGCCGCCCCGCACTGCGCCAAAGTAACATAGAGAGGTGCCAGCCGCCCCGCACTGCGCCAAAGTAACATAGAGAGGTGCCAGCCGCCCCGCACTGCGCCAAAGTAACATAGAGAGGTGCCAGCCGCCCCGCACTGCGCCAAAGTAACATAGAGAGGTGCCAGCCGCCCCGCACTGCGCCAAAGTAACATAGAGAGGTGCCAGCCGCCCCGCACTGCGCCAAAGTAACATAGAGAGGTGCCAGCCGCCCCGCACTGCGCCAAAGTAACATAGAGAGGTGCCAGCCGCCCCGCACTGCGCCAAAGTATCATAGAGAGGTGCCAGCCGCCCCGCACTGCGCCAAAGTAACATAGAGAGGTGCCAGCCGCCCCGCACTGCGCCAAAGTAACATAGAGAGGTGCCAGCCGCCCCGCACTGCGCCAAAGTAACATAGAGAGGTGCCAGCCGCCCCGCACTGCGCCAAAGTAACATAGAGAGGTGCCAGCCGCCCCGCACTGCGCCAAAGTAACAGAGGTGCCAGCCGCCCCGCACTGCGCCAAAGTATCATAGAGAGGTGCCAGCCGCCCGCCATTCAGACATGACGCTGATACTGATATGCGCTGATCTCACTGGGATTCTTTTATTTTTTATGTTTTTTTATTCTGTCATCTATTCAGGATGGTGATTGCGGCCAATTTATCGATCGGGCGCATTGATAAGTTATGGCCGCCGACTCCAGGAGCTTCTGTAGGAAAGATTTAAAGGGTAACTCCACTTTCATGTAAAAAAAAAATCACAAAAAAAACAAACTTTTATATATATATATCTTCACTAGTCGTATTGTAACTGAATGTTATTAAAAATGACCTCAATCCAGCGCTGACCTTTTCTGTAAAACGCAATATGGCGACCTGGAGGTGCGGAACGCCCCCTGAACATGTCGCTTCTGCTTCTGTGATTGGCTCTCTGATTTTCCCAGAAGTCCCCACTAAGGTACAAGTCCTATTTTAGGCATCCCTTGCCACAGAAATATCATTTTGGTGAGATACTCCCAAAGGGAAATCACGTCTAAAGGGATGCAGACCCTGCCGCTGTCCTCATTAGAGCCCTGCAGGTGCAGCAGCTGATTGGTGATTATGAAGTCCCTCCCATTCACAGTCACCCTGCACAGGACACAGAGATACAAACAGATAATTCTTCACAATAACAAAAGGTAGGAATCTGTTACAAAGTTTGCTTTAAACCCGTGCAATGTACAGAGATCACCCCGGGGGGGGGGGGGGGGCTCTCAATAAAATGGAGTTACTCTTTAAACCTTTTATTTTGGCTTCCATTGTGGGATGATCTGTAATTACAGAGCTTGGCTTATAAACTAGAAGGCCACGTGAAGCCCTGATGGGGGGGGGGGGGGGGGGGGCGGGGTTTACAACCACTTGAACACTGGATAGGTGACAGGTTCACTTTATACAATCATTTCTGCTCTGATCATCTCCCCATGTATGACTACAGAAGACACAGACCGACACCAAGTGCTCTCTGCTCCCCTCCCTGCAGGTTACAGGACATCTCCTCGGGGTACTGGGTGCTGGTCGTCCATTTTACCCGACGGGAGGCCGTGAAACAAATCGAGGAACTGCAGCATGTGGCCACTCTCCTGGGCCGCAGTGAGTAGCAAGCTGTTGCATTAGTGTCTGTACCAAAGGAGCTTACACTCTGATGTCCCCTCCCCCACAGTCCCATCAGTCTCTGTACCAAAGGAGCTTACACTCTAATGTCCCCTCCCCCACAGTCACACCAGTCTCTGTACCAGAGGAGCTTACGCTCTAATGTCCCCTCCCCCGCAGTCCCATCGGTCTCTGTACTAGAGGAGCTTGCGCTCTAATGTCCCCTCCCCCACAGTCACACCAGTCTCTGTACAGAGGAGCTTACACTCTGATGTCCCCTCCCCCACAGTCCCATCAGTCTCTGTACAGAGGAGCTTACACTCTGATGTCCCCTCCCCCGCAGTCCCATCGAGCTTCTCTGCACCAGAGGAGCTTACACTCTAATGTCCCCTCCCCCGCAGTCCCATCAGTCTCTGTACAGAGGAGCTTACACTCTGATGTCCCCTCCCCCACAGTCCCATCAGTCTCTGTACAGAGGAGCTTACACTCTGATGTCCCCTCCCCCGCAGTCCCATCAGTCTCTGTACAGAGGAGCTTACACTCTGATTACACTCTAATGTCCCCTGTCCCCCCCACAGTCCCATCAGTCTCTGTACCAGGTGTGAAGTCTCGGTTTTGTTGATTCCCATTGGCAGGCTCTATGGGGGGGGGGTCGAGGTGTGAAGTCTCGGTGTTGATTCCCATTGGCAGGCTCTATTTGGGGGGGGGGGGGTCTCCTAGATGACTTGTGTTATTTCTATACATGTTCCCGGCAGGTCGGGCCTGGCTGTATTTGGCGCTCAATGAGAATTCCCTGGAGAGTTACCTGAGATTGTTCCAGGAGAACCAAAGTCTGTTACAGAAATATTACTACAAGTAAGTGCCGCGTCCCAACAACTCCCCCCCCCCCCCTCCCCCCCCCCCCCCCCCCCCCCTTCCCCACACACCCCCACCACCTCTTCCCGCCTCATCCTAAGCATTTCTCCCCTGTTCTAGGAACGCCCTGGTGTGCAGCCATGACCATCTCACCCTGTTCCTCACCCTCGTCTCTGGCCTGGAATTTATCCGCTTTGAGCTGGAGCTGGTGAGTAGATGGATATGTGAGTGATGGATCCATGGAGATCCAACTGGGAGGTTCTTCAAGGTCGTGTCTACACTGGAGGTTAGGCTGCGGCTGGAGGGCACCAATGCACCGTCCAGCCCCGCTGCCGGCAGCATGTCCAACTCTGAGAGTCTGATGAGGCTAGGCGATGGTTTAAGGCACTCAGGGATGAAGGCTCGCGCTGCAGACTGCTTGTGTTCTGGCCATTCCTGCCTCTGGGCGGAGGTTGGGGGAGCGCGTGAACTGGGCGGAGGCCGGAGGAGACTGGCCTGGGCGGAGGTTGGGGGAGCGTGTGGACTGGGCGGAGGATGGGGGAAGACTGGCCTGGGCGGAGGTTGGGGGAAGACTGGCCTGGGCGGAGGTTGGGGGAAGACTGGCCTGGGCGGAGGTGGGGGAAGACTGGCCTGGGCGGAGGTTGGGGGAAGACTGGCCTGGGCGGAGGTTGGGGGAAGACTGGCCTGGGCGGAGGTTGGGGGAGACTGGACTGGGCGGAGGTTGGGGGAGACTGGACTGGGCGGAGGTTGGGGGAGACTGGCCTGGGCGGAGGTTGGGGGAAGACTGGCCTGGGCGGAGGTTGGGGGAAGACTGGCCTGGGCGGAGGTTGGGGGAAGACTGGCCTGGGCGGAGGTTGGGGGAAGACTGGCCTGGGCGGAGGTTGGGGGGAAGACTGGCCTGGGCGGAGGTTGGGGGGAAGACTGGCCTGGGCGGAGGTTGGGGGGAAGACTGGCCTGGGCGGAGGTTGGGGGAAGACTGGCCTGGGCGGAGGTTGGGGGAAGACTGGCCTGGGCGGAGGTGGGGGGAAGACTGGCCTGGGCGGAGGTTGGGGGAAGACTGGCCTGGGCGGAGGTTGGGGGAAGACTGGCCTGGGCGGAGGTTGGGGGAAGACTGGCCTGGGCGGAGGTTGGGGGAAGACTGGCCTGGGCGGAAGTTGGGGGAAGACTGGCCTGGGCGGAGGTTGGGGGGGAGCGCGTGGACTGGGCGGAGGTTGGGGGAAGACTGGCCTGGGCGGAGGTTGGGGGAAGACTGGCCTGGGCGGAGGTTGGGGGGAGCGCGTGGACTGGGCGGAGGTTGGGGGAGACTGGACTGGGCGGAGGTTGGGGGTGACTGGCCTGGGCGGAGGTTGGGGGAAGACTGGCCTTGGCGGAGGTTGGGGGGGAGCGTGTGGACTGGGCGGAGGTTGGGGGAAGACTGGCCTGGGCGGAGGTTGGGGGAAGACTGGCCTGGGCGGAGGTTGGGGGGAAGACTGGCCTGGGCGGAGGTTGGGGGGAAGACTGGCCTGGGCGGAGGTTGGGGGGAAGACTGGCCTGGGCGGAGGTTGGGGGAAGACTGGCCTGGGCGGAGGTTGGGGGAAGACTGGCCTGGGCGGAGGTGGGGGGAAGACTGGCCTGGGCGGAGGTTGGGGGAAGACTGGCCTGGGCGGAGGGTTGGGGGAAGACTGGCCTGGGCGGAGGTTGGGGGAAGACTGGCCTGGGCGGAGGTTGGGGGAAGACTGGCCTGGGCGGAAGTTGGGGGAAGACTGGCCTGGGCGGAGGTTGGGGGGGAGCGCGTGGACTGGGCGGAGGTTGGGGGAAGACTGGCCTGGGCGGAGGTTGGGGGAAGACTGGCCTGGGCGGAGGTTGGGGGGGGAGCGCGTGGACTGGGCGGAGGTTGGGGGAGACTGGACTGGGCGGAGGTTGGGGGTGACTGGCCTGGGCGGAGGTTGGGGAAGACTGGCCTGGGCGGAGGTTGGGGGGGAGCGTGTGGACTGGGCGGAGGTTGGGGGAAGACTGGCCTGGCGGAGGTTGGGGGGAAGACTGGCCTGGGCGGAGGTTGGGGGAAGACTGGCCTGGGCGGAGGTTGGGGGAAGACTGGCCTGGGCGGAGGTTGGGGGAAGACTGGCCTGGGCGGAGGTTGGGGGAAGACTGGCCTGGGCGGAGGTTGGGGGGGAGCGCGTGGACTGGGCGGAGGTTGGGGGAGACTGGACTGGGCGGAGGTTGGGGGAAGACTGGACTGGGCGGAGGTTGGGGGAAGACTGGCCTGGGCGGAGGTTGGGGGAAGACTGGCCTGGGCGGAGGTTGGGGGAAGACTGGCCTGGGCGGAGGTTGGGGGAAGACTGGCCTGGGCGGAGGTTGGGGGGGAGCGCGTGGACTGGGCGGAGGTTGGGGGACTGTGGACTGGGCGGAGGTTGGAGGAGACTGGACTGGGTGGAGGTTGGGGGAGTACAGATCATTTCCGTCTTCTTCAGTAGCATTGGAATCTGGTTATTTTCATCTGATCCAATACATATGATCCGGCGTTTTTCTGGTTCATATGTCCGGATTCCCCTCTAGGATGTCCCGTACTTGGATTTGGCGCCGTACATGCCGGAATACTACAAGCCGGAGTACCTCCTGGATTTTGAGGACCGCCTCCCCAGCAACACCCGCGGTTCCGACAGCCTGTCCCTCAATTCCTTCAACTCCATCAACTCGGCCAACCTAGAGTGGGACGACAGCGCCATCGCGCCCTCCAGTGAAGGTACGGGCCTCCCCATACACTGCTGGCCTCCATAGTGAGTGGTGGAGTCACAGGAGATGTCAGTCCTCCGGGGAGTCACGGAAGGCAGTATCCCCGGTACCGCTTAAGGGCCCGCCTCTGTCACCATCTTGGCTCCTCCCAAACCTCCCAAACCGGTTAACATACCATAATAGCTGCGCCGTTGGGCATAAAAATAACTTTATTGTTCAGCATTGTTGAAGACGCTCCATCAAGCTTCTCTGTGATGCATTTGCCCCCCGTTGAGGCAGAAGTCCCAGAGTGCTGTGCGGCTTCCTATTCTGGTATGGTAACGGCCATGAAATCGTCTTGCTTAGGAGGCCAGAAGGGCTTCAGGATTTGTTCGTCTTCTCGGGCTGTCAGATAATCTGCACTGACAACACGCATCCGTTTTGTGGGAAAATTTGTTTCGGGGGTTCATAAAATGACATATTAAGTTTCCTGGCACTGGGGGGCGGGGGGGGGGCACTATATTGGCACACACAGGTCGTAGGTTAGGATGCAATACACAGAACATGGTGCGGTGACGCACCGCCTGCAGCCACTGATTCTAACCCGCTGTTTTGTCCCCGGTCTCTGTAGATTATGATTTTGGAGATGCTTACCCTGCAGCGCGGTCCGTGCCCAGCACAGACTGGGAAGGTGGGAACAGCCATATTGCTTCATTGCCTCCTCCTGACTCCTCCCCTTACATGTTCCTTCTCTGACCTGTATGTACATGGCTCCATCCTGAACTGAACAGATCTGTCCTCCTCCAACTGTACCTTCACCCAATATTGTCTGTGGCATCACCTCCTATGTCTCTAACAATTGTCCTCCACTACTTGTACCTCCACCCAGCATTGTCTGTGGCCCTCCACCATCACCTATATACCTAACAGTTGTCCTCCACTCATCATACCTCCACCCAACATTGTCTGTGGATTTCTGCCATTGCCTCCTAAATACCTAACCGTTGTCCTCCACCCAACATTGTCTGTGGCCCCCCACCATCTCCTCCTAAATACTTAACCGTTGTCCTCCACCCAACATTATCTGTGGCCCCCCACCATCACCTCCTATATGCGTAACAGTTGTCTTCCACTCATCGTACCTCCACCCAACATTGTCTGTGGCATCACCTCCTTTGTCTCTAACAATTGTCCTCCACTACTTGTAGTTCCACCCAACATTGTGGATTTCTGCCATCGCCTCCTAAATACCTAACAGTTGTCCTCCACCCAACATTGTCTGTGGCCCTCCACCATCACCTCCTATATACCTAACAGTTGTCTTCCACTCTTCCTACCTCCACCCAAAATTGTGGATTTCTGCCATCACCTCCTAAATACCTAACCGTTGTCCTCCACCCAACATTGTCTGTGGCATCACCTCCTATATGTCCAACAGTTGTCCTTCACTCATCATACCTCCACCCAACATTGTCTGTGGCCGTCCACCATCACCTCCTATATCTTTTAATGGTTGTCCTCCACTCCTCATATCTCCACCCAGTATTGTCCGTTGCCCTCTGCCATCACCTCCTGTATCTCTAATGGTTGTCCTCCACCCAACATTGTCTGTGGTCTCCACCATCACCTCCTACTTACCTAACAGTTGTCCCCCATTTCTAGTACCTCCACCCAGTATTGACTATGGCCCACCACCATCGTCTCCTATATACTTAGTGGTTGTCTTCCATTCATTATTCCTCCACCCAACACTGTGGCCCTCCGCCATCACCTCCTATATCTCTTAACTGTTGTCTTCCACTCCTCATACCTCCACCCAACAATGTCTGTTGCATCACCTATGTCTCTAACTGTTGTCCCCCTCTACTCATTGTACCTCCACCCAACATTGTGTGTGACACTTTGCCATTACCTCCATCTCCAATGGTTGTCCTCCACCCATCGTACCTCCACCATACATTGTTACATCACCTCCTATATTCTTAACTGTTGTCCCTCTCTACTCATTGTACCTCCACCCAGCATTGTCTGTGGCCCTCCGCCATCACCTCCTGTATCTCCAATGGTTGTCCTCCACTTATTGTCCCTCCACCCAGCATTGTCTGTGGCCCTCCGCCATCACCTCCTGCATCTCCATTGGTTGTCCTCCACTTATTGTCCCTCCACCCAGCATTGTCTGTGGCCCTCCGCCATCACCTCCTGTATCTCCAATGGTTGTCCTCCAGTTATCGTACCTCCACCCAGCATTGCTGTGGCCCTCTGCCATCACCTCCTGTATCTCCAATGGTTGTCCTCCACTCATCGTACCTCCACCCAGCATGGTCTCTGGCCTTCGTTCTTCATCCCTCTGTCTAAGACCGGCCCCTACCAGTCATAGCTCCACCCAACATTGGGCCTAATGTATCTGCATCATCCACCAATCCATTCATATCTTCTATGGAGTGTTCTTCGTGATGACCCTTCCATACATGAGGCCCATTTGCCATCCTCTGTCCTTGTCCCCAGTGTTCTCTGTTTGTCCCCCACCAGCTTCTGCTTCAGTTTGTGAACGAGAACTGTTTGTGTTGCCCTGCAGAGAGAGAGCGGACTCCGTGCATTCTCCCGCATCAGTTGCACTGTTGTAAACACAGACAGTTCTTCTTTCAGATACTAATCCTATCTCCTTGAAGTGATCTCTCGTGTACATTCCATATGGAGTTTGCACCCCTTATACCCCCTCCCCCTTCTGTGTTTCCTCACCTACCCCCCCACCCCATCCCTGGCCCCCCTTCCACCCGCATGCTGCCTCTGATTGGCTCTGTAACCACCTAACACGTGACAATGCTGCAGATTCTGAACACACGGGCTGAGATTTCCCTCTGGGGAATCCATGATTATCACAGGGGTGCCCTCGCCAGCCGCCCCGCTATGACTGTACCCCTCCACCATGGCATACATTATATTTCCTACATGGCCAAGGTTTGGGGGTCACCTGACCATCATATCTCTAGGAGCTCGTTGGTCCTCCAGTTCCTGAACCATGGCCGTTAAAATGGAGTTGTGCCCCCCAGCAGCCCCCCAGATCCCCATTAATATGGATCTTCCACAGTCCCTTCCAGCGAGTCTTTATAATGAACTGATTTGTTGTCGTGGTTTGTGTTTCTCCTAACCAGCTGACCTACTAACCTCCCCGTGTGGGCTCTGCCTTGACGTGTGCCTTTGTTTTCCATCACATGGCTGCGGTTGGCGTGATTATGTGGGTGTGGCTTGTTGTAGAGTCATGTACAGAATAGAACCGGTAATTTGTCCTCTAATTGTAGACGGTTACCCAATATAAATACTGCCGCGCCCCTAGAGAGGGCGCCACCTGCCGGTGCGACTTCCATACAACTTTTTCAATCAATATTTTCTTCAAACAAAACTTTATTTAGACAAAACCGATAAAAGGCATTTTTTGTTTCCATGACTTTGGTTTGAGTCGGTCTGCAGACTTGTAGTCCCACACTGTGGACGCTCCTTCCACAAGACGTACCCTCCAATACCCCGCAAGGGCTTCACCCTGTCCCTGTGTGGTCCCGCTGCACTTTGGACGCAACCTGCGGGTGGGCTGCGCTTCCCATAAACTTCTGTGCAGCCCGCAGGAGTTCTACCGCGCTTTCTGAAACCGCACCAAACCGCAGGGCCATCGTAGAAAATCCATGGGAAAGCGCAGCCCAGCCGCACGAAAACCGCAGCCGAACCTTAGCAAAGGACGCAGAGGGGCAGTGTGGTGTGAAGCTGCCCTTTATCTACAGCAGGGCTGTCCAAAAATATGGCCCTTGGGCCACATTTGGCCCTCTACTAGATTTTATCCGGCCCACAGCTAGGGTCAAGTTAAGGATTAAGGTCAGCAGAGCCTGCCTATGGTCTCCACTTCAGCCCCCTCATGTAACTGGGGACTCTGATGGGGACCCTGATGTAAGGCGAGACTCTGTTGGGCAGCCTGACGTAAGGTGGACTCTGGTGGGGGATCCTGATGTTAGGAGGACCCCGGTGGGGACCCTGACGTAAGGAGGGACCCCGGTGGGGACCCTGACGTAAGGAGGGACCTTGATGTAGGGGGGGACCCTGACGTAAGGAGGTACTCCGGTGGGGACCCTGAGGTAAGAAGCGATCTTGATATAGGGGGGGACCCTGACATAAGGAGGACTTTGATGTAGTGGGGAAACCCTGGACGTAAGGAGGACCTTGATGTAGTGGGGGGACCCTGACGTAAGGAGGACCTTGATGGGGGGTAACTGGTAAGGGGACCTTGATGTAGTGGGGGGACCCTGACGTAAGGAGGACCTTGATGTAGGTGGGGACCCCTGACTTGATGTAGGTAACGTAAGGAGGACCTTGATGTAGTTTAAGGAGGGATGGGGGGGGACCCTGACGTAAGGAGGACCTTTGTATGTAGTGGTGGGGGGACCCTGACGTAGTTGGGAGGACCTTGATGTAGTGGGGGGTGACGTAAGGGGGACCCTGTAGGTGACGTAAGGAGGACCTTGATGTAGTGGGGGGACCCTGACGTAAGGAGGACCTTGATGTAGTGGGGGGACCTTGATGTAGTGGGGGGACCCTGACGTAAGGAGGACCTTGATGTGGGGGGGGGGACCCTGACGTAAGGAGCGACCTTGATGTAGGGGGGGACCTTGATGTAGGGGGGGGACCCTGACGTAAGGAGGACCTTGATGTAGGGGGGGACCCTGATGTAAGGAGGACCTTGACATGGGGGGGACCTTGATGTGGGGGGGGACCCTGATGTAAGAAGCGACCTTGATGTGGGGGGGGGGACCTTGATGTATGGAGGACTCTGGTGGTGATTTTTTTTCTACCCTTTTATACTGTGTGGCCTCATACTAAAGCGTTGAGCGCCCCCTGGTCTAGAGGACAGGTACATGGAGGATGGTCAGTAGTATAGGTCTAGAGGACAGGTACATGGAGGATGGTCAGTAGTATAGGTCTAGAGGATAGTTGCATGGAGGATGGTCAGTAGTATAGTCTCTAGAGGACAGGTACATGGAGGATGGTCAGTAGTATATCAGGTCTAGAGGCAGTTACATGGAGGATGGTCAGTAGTATAGGTCTAGAGGAGGTAGTTACATGGAGGATGGTCAGTAGTATAGGTCTAGAGGTTAGTTACATGGAGGATGGTCAGTAGTATAAATCTATGGGGGGCAGTTACATGGAGGTATAAGTCTGGTAGGGGGCAGTTACATGGTAGTATAGGTCTAGGGGGCAGTTACATGGAGGATGGTCAGTAGTATAAGTCTAGGGGGCAGTTACATAGGGGGCAGTTACATGGAGGATGGTCAGTAGTATAGGTCTAGGGGGCAGTTACATGGAGGATGGTCAGTAGTATATATCTAGGGGGCAGTTACATGGAGGATGGTCAGTAGTATAAGTCTAGGGGGCAGTTACATGGAGGATGGTCAGTAGTATAAGTCTAGGGGGCAGTTACATGGAGGATGGTCAGTAGTATAAGTTTAGGGGGCAGTTACATGGAGGATGGTCAGTAGTATAAGTCTAGGGGGCAGTTACATGGAGGATGGTCAGTAGTATAAGTTTAGGGGGCAGTTTACATGGAGGATGGTCAGTAGTATAATCTAGGGGGCAGTTACATGGAGGATGGTCAGTCAGTAGTATAAGTCTAGGGGGCAGTTACATGGAGGATGGTCAGTAGTATAGGTCTAGGGGGCAGTTACATGGAGGATGGTCAGTAGTAGTATAGGTCTAGAGGGGGCAGTTACATGGAGGATCAGTAGGTCAGTAGTATAAGTCTAGGGGGCAGTTACATGGAGGATGGTCAGTAGTATAAGTCTAGGGGGCAGTTACATGGAGGATGGTCAGTAGTATAAATCTAGGGGGCAGTTACATGGAGGATGGTCAGTAGTATAGGTCTAGGGGGCAGTTACATGGAGGATGGTCAGTAGTATAAGTCTAGGGGGCAGTTACATGGAGGATGGTCAGTAGTATAAGTCTATGGGGGGCAGTTACATGGAGGATGGTCAGTAGTAGTATAGGTCTAGGGGGCAGTTACATGGAGGATGGTCAGTAGTATAAGTCTAGGGGGCAGTTACATGGAGGATGGTCAGTAGTATAAGTCTAGGGGGCAGTTACATGGAGGATGGTCAGTAGTATAAGTCTAGGGGGCAGTTACATGGAGGATGGTCAGTAGTATAGGTCTAGGGGGCAGTTACATGGAGGATGGTCAGTAGTATAAGTCTAGGGGGCAGTTACATGGAGGATGGTCAGTAGTATAAGTCTAGGGGGCAGTTACATGGAGGATGGTCAGTAGTATAGGTCTAGGGGGCAGTTACATGGAGGATGGTCAGTAGTATAGGTCTAGGGGGCAGTTACATGGAGGATGGTCAGTAGTATATAGGTCTAGGGGGCAGTTACATGGAGGATGGTCAGTATTGTTGCACAAGTCTGCAGACCAACAAAAATTCTTTTTTATAGTTTTTGTATTTTCATGTCTATAGAAGGATCAGGAAATATTGGCTGAACATGTTCTGAGTGTTAGGAGTCCCCGAGGAGTCCCGTTCTCTTCCCTGTCATTGTGGATGGGACGTTCCCCATCCCCCCGTCATAGTCCCCATCGTTGCCGGTCCTGTTTTTTGTTTGATTTCCCCGATTTAGGAATTGCTAATTGCTGGATTGGTTTATGATTCCTTCCCTCCATCCCGCGACTTCCCCTTCCTGCCTGTTGTCACCCGTCTCTCTCGTGCTGTTCCATAACAGACGGGGACCTCCACGATGGCAGCAGCTTCCCCGGCCCGCCGCCATTTGTGCTCCACCGCCCCAAATCACAAACGAGGAGCTCAATGCATCGGCACAACCCGTTCACACAAGATCTGTCGTCTTCTGATGTCACCTCAGGGCCCGGCACGGCGGCAGATACACCCGACACAAGCGACCCCATCACCCAGGACTCCGAGGTCGACGTGACGTCCCTGGACACCACCCTGTCCTATAACCAGCCCCTGAGGGCCACCGAGCCGGCCTCCGACAGCACCGACCTCAGTACTCAGGATGTGATTGATGGCCTCTCTACCTCCGACTCGACTCCGGTGCACAACACGGCCAAGAGGAGAGGAGCGAAACACCACCTTCACCACGTATACGGAGAACAACGCCGAGCTGGAGGTCATCAGGTGAGCGCATGTGTGGGAGGGGCAGTAAATACAAGACGCCAGAATTGACAGGATGGCCAATTAAAGTAAAATGAATTTGTAGTGTGGATGGATTAGTGGGGGGGGCGCTCCCTCCCCGGGGGGCCCTTGGCCTGCCTCTCTCTCCCTCCCCGGGGGGCCTGGCGCGCCTCTCTCCACCCCCGGGGGGCCTTGGCGCGCCTCTCTCCTCCCCCCGGGGGGGCCTGGCGCTGCTCTCTCTCTGGCGCCCCTCCCTCCCCGGGGGCCTGGCGCGCTCTCTCTCCCGGGGGCCTGGCGCGCCTCTCACTCCCTCCCTGGGGGGCCCTCCCCCGGGGGCGCCGCCCTCTCTCTCCCTCCCCCGGGGGCCTGGCGCGCCTCTCTCTCCCTCCCCGGGGGCCCTGGCGCGCCTCTCTCTCCTTCCCCGGGGGCCTGGGCGCGCTCTCTCTCTCCCTCCCCGGGGGGGGGCTCTTGGCCTGGCGCGCCTCTCTCCCTCTGGCGCGCCCCTCTCCCTCCCCGGGGGGCCTTGGCGCCCCTCTTCTTGGCTCTCTCTCTCCTCCCTCTCCCTTCCCGGGGGGCCTGGCGCTCTCTCCCCCTCCCCCCTCTCTCTCCCCCCTCCCCGGGGGCCTGGCGCCCCTCTCTCTCCCCTCCCCGGGGGCTGGCGCCCCTCTCTCCCCCTACCCCGGGGGCCTGGCGCCCCCTCCCCGCGCCCCGAGGGCCTGGCGCCCCTCTCTCGCCCCCCCTCCCGCGCCCCGAGGGCCTGGCTCCCTAACGACCAAGCCAGTTGGGTCATGTTCACATTAATATATTTTCTCTAAATCTCCAGAAATCCCGATTTTGATTCCTCCCCCAAACCATGCCCCGAGAGCCCTGCCTCTCCACCCCCACCCACCCCGAGAGCCTCTCCACCCCCACCCACCCCTGCCCTGGCCTCTCCACCCCCACCCACCCCGAGAGCCCTGGCCTCTCCACCCCCACCCACCCCGAGAGCCCTGGCCTCTCCACCCCACCCACCCCGAGAGCCCTGGCCTCTCCACCCCACCCACCCGAGAGCCCTGGCCTCCACCCCCTCCACCCCCGAGAGCCCTGGCCTCTCCACCCCCCCCCCCGAGGGCCTAGCCTCCTAACTACACCGAGCCAGTTGGGTCACGTTGTTCACAATTAATATATTTTCTCTAAGAGTCCGGAGATCCCGATTTTGTAGCTTCTCAGGCTTTGAGGATCTTCCAATGTTCTTTGTTTCAGGATGGTAAGGAAGAAGCGAAGTGGAAAGCGTAAGAAGGGGCGATCGGAGGACAGCACCCAACGTCCCCTCCTTAGTACTTCAGAGCCCGAGGACCCGGACCCCGAGCACAAGTCCATCTGTAACGGGGAACTGGAAGAGAAGCCGGCAGATCTCACCGAACCGGCCCTCCCGCCTGGCCAAGATGCAGGACACATCCATGGAGAGAGTGGGGCAACCTCTCACGGAGGTCATAGAGAAGCTGAACGGCCAATTGGACCCTCAGAGCTGGTCCTGTAACCCAGAAGCCACTGACCATTCCTTTCGGACCTGCTCCCCGGGGCAGACCCCCGGCGATACCCGAAGCCCGGACGATAGCAAGGGCTTGCAGGATCCCATGGACTTCTACTACTTTACCCCAGAGAGTCCAAACTCTCTTGCAACAGGTGGTGGCGACCATGACTCTCCAGGCCAGAGCCAACCAACACATGTTTTTGGTGGCCTGAGGATGTTGGACAAGCGGAGGAGGGAGGAGGGGGAGAGACTTCAGCTAAAGGATCCTTAGAGGAGCACTCCGGCCAGACCCTGCTGACTACCAGCTCTGGTGGGAAGGAGAGTCCCAGCCTAAGTATTGCGGAGGACTCTGGAGTGGAGGAGGGGCAAGGCAGCCCCACAGATGCCCCCCATCCTTGTGAATTCAGGTAAATGGAGGATGGGGTGTCTGGCGGGTGAAGAAGTAATGGGGTGCATAGAGGGTGAAGCTATGGGGAGCATAGAGGGTGAAGAAGTAATGGGGTGCATAGAGGAAGTAATGGGGTGCATAGAGGAAGTAATGGGGTGCATAGAAGATGAAGCAATTCATTGGGCTGCCATCATTCCCCATAAGACCCACTAAGGGTCCTATCAAGTAGTGGCTGTATAGGCGGGATTTAATCCCCCCGCCCCGGTGTTTGGCTGTACAGTGCGGGATTTCCCAGCATCCTCTCTCCCTGTGTTTGGCTGTACAGGCGGGATTTCCCAGCATCCTCCTCTCTCCCTGTGTTTGGCTGTATAGCGGGATTTCCCAGCATCCTCCTCCCCCGTGTTTGGCTGTATAGGCGGGATTTCCCAGCATCCTCCTCTCCCCGTGTTTTGGCTGTATAGGCGGGATTTCCCAGCATCCTCCTCCCCCCCCCCCCGGTGTTTGGCTGTACAGGCGGGATTTCCCAGCATCCTCCTCTCCCTGTGTTTGGCTGTATAGGCGGGATTTCCCAGCATCCTCCTCTCCCTGTGTTTGGCTGTATAGGCGGGATTTCCCAGCATCCTCCTCTCCCCGTGTTTGGCTGTATAGGTGGGATTTCCCAGCATCCTCCTCCCCCCGCCCCGGTGTTTGGCTGTACAGGCGGGATTTCCCAGCATCCTCCTCTCCCTGTGTTTGGCTGTATAGGCGGGATTTCCCAGCATCCTCCTCCCCCCGCCCCGGTGTTTGGCTGTATAGGCGGGATTTCCCAGCATCCTCCTCTCCCTGTGTTTGGCTGTATAGGCGGGATTTCCCAGCATCCTCCTCTCTTTGTGTTTGGCTGTATAGGCGGGATTTCCGAGCATCCTCCTCTCCCTGTGTTTGGCTGTATAGGCGGGATTTCCCAGCATCCTCCTCTCCCCGTGTTTGGCTGTATAGGCGGGATTTCCCAGCATCCTCCTCCCCCCGCCCCGGTGTTTGGCTGTATAGGCGGGATTTCCCAGCATCCTCCCCCCCCGCCCCGGTGTTTGGCTGTATAGGCGGGATTTCCCAGCATCCTCCTCTCCCTGTGTTTGGCTGCATAGGCGGGATTTCCCAGCATCCTCCTCTCCCTGTGTTTGGCTGCATAGGCGGGATTTCCCCCTCCTCTCCCTGTGTTTGGCTGCATAGGCGGGATGTTCCCAGCATCCTCCTCTCCCTGTGTTTGGCTGCATAGGCGGGATTTCCCAGCATCCTCCTCTCCCTGTGTTTGGCTCACATTGCCTCCTTCTCTGTGTCTTCAGGGTGGACAATAACCTTCTTCTGCTCCTGATGATTCACGTGTTTCGGGAGAACGAGGAGCAGCTGTTCAAGGTGAGGATGGTGGCCAATCAGAGGTCTTCCTTTCCTGATGTGTTGTGTCGTGAACTCGAGAAGGGAATCCGCATTGCCACCAGCAGCCAATCAGATTCCAGCTGCTTCTTCTCACTTTGTGGTTAGGCTGTGAATCTGTGAAATGGTTATACTGGGATGACAGGTTCTCTTGTTTCCTCAGATGTTCCGGATGAGTACGGGTCACATGGAGGGGGATCTGCAGCTGGTCTACATTCTTCTCACCGACTGTTACATCTATTTCCTGAGGAAAGGTGAGGATCCACTTATTACGTCTACATAGAGATCCATCCTTACCGCTCATGTGACCTATGTACCCCTCCCCCACGTGACATATCTACCCCTCCCCCGCCAGGTGCCGCTGACAAACCATACATGGTGGAGGACGCCGTCTCCTACAATGAACTAGATTACATCTCCGTAAGTGTGACTTTGTGCCGCAGGATGGGGGAGGTCAGCCAATGGCGAGCTTTCGTTTACCCTCCTCTTCCTTCCAGGTTGGTCTTGACCAGCAGACGGTGACGATAGTCTGTACCAACAGGAGGCGCCAGTTCCTGGTGGACACGGCGGACATTTCCCTGACTGAGTGAGCACCTTTCTCCTTCACTGAACCCTGCCACCCTCTTCCCCTCCCCCGGTCTACACAATGCCACCCTCTTCCCCTCCCCCGGTCTACACAATGCCACCCTCTTCCCCTCCCCCGGTCTACACAATGCCACCCTCCCCCGGTCTACACAATGCCACCCTCTTCCCCTCCCCCGGTCTACACAATGCCACCCTCTTCCCCTCCCCCGGTCTACACAATGCCACCCCTTCCCCCCCCCGGTCTACACAATGCCACCCTCTTCCCCCCCCCCGGTCTACACAATGCCACCCTCTTCCCCTCCCCCGGTCTACACAATGCCACCCTCTTCCCTTCCCCCGGTCTACACAATGCCACCCTCTTCCCCTCCCCCGGTCTACACAATGCCACCCTCTTCCCCTCCCCCGGTCTACACAATGTTATTCCTGCACTCCACTCAACCACCATTTCCCCCCCCCTTCCTCGCTACACCCTAAAGCCTTCTTCCCCCACCCCTGCAGTACACATCACCGACCTCTCTTCCCCCACCCCTGCAGTACACATCACCGACCTCTCTCCCCCCACCCCTGCAGTACACCTCACCGACCTCTCTCCCCCCACCCCTGCAGTACACCTCACCGACCTCTCTCCCCCACCCCTGCAGTACACCTCACCGACCTCTCTTCCCCCACCCCTGCAGTACACCTCACCGACCTCTCTTCCCCCACCCCTGCAGTACACCTCACTGACCTCTCTTCCCCCCACCCCTGCAGTACACCTCACCGACCTCTCTCCCCCCACCCCTGCAGTACACCTCACCGACCTCTCTCCCCCCACCCCTGCAGTACACCTCACCGACCTCTCTCCCCCCACCCCTGCAGTACACCTCACCGACCTCTCTCCCCCCACCCCTGCAGTACACCTCACCGACCTCTCTTCCCCCCACCCCTGCAGTACACCTCACCGACCGACCTCTCTTCCCCCCCACCCCTGCAGTACACCTCACCGACCTCTCTCCCCCCACCCCTGCAGTACACCTCACCGACCTCTCTCCCCCCACCCCTGCAGTACACCTCACCGACCTCTCTCCCCCCACCCCTGCAGTACACCTCACCGACCTCTCTCCCCCCCACCCCTGCAGTACACCTCACCGACCTCTCTCTCCCCCCACCCCTGCAGTACACCTCACCGACCTCTCTCCCCCCACCCCTGCAGTACACCTCACCGACCTCTCTCCCCCCACCCCTGCAGTACACCCCACCGACTTCCCTTCCCCCCTTTCCGCTGCAGTACACTCCTATGCCTTCTTTTCCCTACCCCTGCAGACTCCCTTAGCCCTTCCCCACCCCTGCACTGCACCCCACCATCCTTTCTTCCCTTACTCCTATCCCTTCTTTACCCCTCTGACCTCCCTTCCCCACCCTGCAGTACTCCCAACTTAGCATTTCTTCCCCACCCCTGCACTGCACCCCACCAACCTTTCTTCCCTACCTCTGCCACTACATCAAACCACCCTTCATTCCCCACTACACCCCAATGCTTTGCTTTCCCCACCCTTGCAGAACACCCCACTAAGTTCTCCTCCCTACCCCTGCACTACAGCCCACCACCCTTTCTTCTGTAGCTGCACCCCAATGTCTTTTTTATGCACCCCAACTAGCCTCTCTTCTCCATCTCTGCAGTACACCCCAAGCCTTTCTCTCCCCCCCCCCCCCCCCCCCCAGAGTACACCCCAGCATGTTGTGTTTCCCTCCGCCCTCTCTTCCTCACCTCCAGACTACATGTCCCCACCCTTTCCTCCTGTCATTTCCCATCCCTCTGATGTCTGTTCCCCATACGTCTGCCCTTTTCACTCAGGATCTTCATTGCTGCACTGAAATCCGCCATGATAAACGGGTGCCGAGAGCCGCCTTACCCCGGTGTTCTTACAGATGCCACCATGGAGAGACTGGCACTTGCCAAATTTGTGTCTCTGGAATCCAAGCGAGAGGTAACACCAGCCATGGGGGCCCCTGTGTGTGACGTCTGGGGGACCCCTGTGTGTGTGACGTCTGGGGGACCCCTGTGTGTGTGACGTCTGGGGGACCCCTGTGTGTGTGACGTCTGGGGGACCCCTGTGTGTGTGACGTCTGGGGGACCCCTGTGTGTGTGACGTCTGGGGGACCCCTGTGTGTGACGTCTGAAGGGCCCTACAGTCCTGTCAGTGTATTCATGTCTTGTAGCATCACTGGGGCCATATTCCTCCATATGTTTTATATATTGTCAGTTTCCGCAGTTGGTGAGCCATTCTTTTACCAGCTGCCAGTAACTGTGTGCTTTTCCACCAGGCCTCGGAGGTGGCGATGCTGTACTACGGTCTGGTTCACTGGGAAGACCCTCTGGATGAAGCCGTTGGGTCGTTCAGTTCTCACTCATCCAGAGATCAGGTTGTATCGAAGGAGGGGGTCCTGCATTACAAGGCCAGCACCTCCTACCTGGGCCGTGAGACCTGGAAAGCCTGCTATGTCGTCCTCAGGTGAGCAGGAAGGGGGGGAGTCTAGGGGGCTTCAATGGGGACACACAAGGTCTGAGCCGAGGACCCCATCATCTGATCTTTGTTGCTCCTCCCCAGTAATGGCGTCCTATACCAGTACCCCGACAGGACCGATGTCACCCCCATGCTGTCGATCAATCTGGGGTAAGTCCTTCCTATCCTCCTCCCTTCATCGTGTTCCTGCGTAAGGTTGCTGATTGGCTGACACAAAGTTTGGATGACGGTTTTTTTTATATAACTGGCCTACAGGAGTGAACAATGCGGTGGCTGCCGCCGGGCCAACTCTACAGAGAGAGCGCACTCCTTCCAGATCATCCTGACTGAGCAGCCTTCCCTGGAACTGAGCGCCGCCAACGATGAGGACATGGCGGACTGGATGCAGCATCTGTGCCAGGCTGTCTCCAAGGGGGTAAGTCTGCACACGGGCAAACGTGTCTACGTTGGGTCTGTTACATGTTCAGTGGATGTACCCGGTGTAAGGCGAGGTATCCACTGAGAAGATCAAGTGACAGGATGCAGCAGAGAGCCATGGGGGGGATGTGAGAGCCAATAGGAGCAGTAGAAGGGGAAGTGTGTAGTGAAATTGAGGATGGAGGGGTGCGTGGGCCAGTGTGGCGGGATGGAGGGGTGCGTGGGCCAGTGTGGCGGGATGGAGGGGTGCGTGGGCCAGTGTGGCGGGGGATGGGGTGCGTGGGCCAGTGTGGCGGGATGGAGGCGTGGGCCAGTGTGGCGGGATGGAGGGGTGCGCGGGCCAGTGTGGGGATGGAGGGGGTGCGCGGGCCAGTGTGGCGGGATGGAGGGGTGCGCGGGCCAGTGTGGCGGGATGGAGGGGTGCGCGGGCCAGGGGTGTGGGCGGGATGGAGGGGTGCGTGGGCCAGTGTGGCGGGATGGAGGGGTGCGCGGGCCAGTGTGGCGGGAGTGTGGCGGGATGGAGGGGTGCGTGGGCCAATGTGGACGGATGTTTGGGTGCGTGTGGATCAATGTGGAGGGATGGAGGGGTGCGTGTGGGCTAACAGGAAGAACAAACTATTGCCGGACTCTCCTGTGTATATTGCAGTGTGTATTGTATCGCAGTGTGTCGCAATGTATCGCAGTGTATTGCAGTGTGTCGCAGTGTAGTGTATTGCAGTGTATTGTATCGCAATGTATTGCAATGTATCGCAGTGTGTCGTATTGTAGTGTATCGTATTGCAGTGTGTCGCAGTGTATTGTATTGCAGTGTGTCGCAATGTATTGCAGTGTATCGTATCGCAGTGTATTGTGTCGCAGTGTGTTGCAGTGTATTGTATCGCAGTGTATTGTATCGCAGTGTGTCGCAGTGTATCGCAGTGTATCGTAGTGTGTCGCAGTGTATCGTATTGCAGTGTGTCGCAGTGTATTGTATCGCAGTGTATCGTAGTGTATTGTATTGCAGTGTGTCGCAGTGTATTGTATCGCAGTGTATTGCAGTGTATCGTATTGTAGTGTATCGTAGTGTATTGTATTGTAGTGTATCGCAGTGTATTGTATTATTGCAGTGTGTATCGCAGTGTATTGTATCGCAGTGTGTCGCAGTGTATTGTATTGCAGTGTGTCGCAGTGTATTGTATCGCAGTGTATCGCAGTGTATTGTATGCAGTGTATCGCAGTGTATTGTATCGCAGTGTGTCGCAGTGTATTGTATCGCAGTGTGTCGCAGTGTGTCGTGTCGCAGTGTATCGTAGTGTGTGTCGCAGTGTATCGTAGTGTGTCACAAAGTATTGCAGTGTGTCGCAGTGTATTGTATTGCAGTGTGTCGCAGTGTATTGTATTGCAGTGTATCGTAGTGTATTGTATCGCAGTGTGTCACAAAGTATCGCAGTGTGTCGCAGTGTATGTATTGCAGTGTATCGCAGTGTATTGTATCGCAGTGTGTCGCAGTGTATTGTATCGCAGTGTATCGTATGTGTCACAAAGTATTGCAGTGTGTCGCAGTGTATTGTATCGCAGTGTGTCGCAGTGTATTGTATCGCAGTGTGTCGCAGTGTATTGTATCGCAGTGTATCGTAGTGTATTGTATCGCAGTGTGTCGCAGTGTATTGTAGTGTATCGCATTGTATCGCAGTGTGTCGTATTTGTCGCAATGTATTGCAGTGTATCGCAGTGTATTGTATCGCAGTGTATCATATCGCAGTGTATCACATTGTATAGCAGTGCCCGCTGAGCCCAGGCCGGTCGGTGGGTTTGCACTGCGGTGACACTCTTGTCTTCCCGGCAGGTGATTCCTCAGGGTGGGGTCCCCTCTGCCTGCCTCCCCTGCTGTCTGGTCCTGACTCAGGACAAAGTCATCACGTGTCACCAGGACTGTCAGACCAGCTTCTTCCGGGCCCTCGGCATCACTGAGCTGACAGATCTGTCCTCTCTGGGCACGGTGGATGGCAAGGAGTATTGTGTCATGGTGAGTACAGAATGGGGGGGGCACACGGCAGTATGGGGGATGGTGAGGGGGGGGGGGGGGTTGGTGGTGGATTTAGAAGGGGCAGGGCTTATGGTGGGGGTGGAGCAGTAGAAGAATAGAGCGGGGACTGATGGTGGGGGGAGGAGGCATCTAGTGATGGGTCCATTGGAGGAAGGTGATCTCGGGGGAGGGGCCCTAGGTAGCGGATGTCGGAGCTTTAATTTCCCGCCTTCCCCGGATGGCGATTTCCCTGTTTGTGTCCCTTTTCCCTGCAGGAGTTCACGCAGGAGCGCAGTCACTTCCTCCCGCCCTGGGTGATGTATTTTAGCTGCAGAACGGAGCTGGACAGGTTCATCTCCACCGTGCGAGCGGCATGGAGGTCCATCTATCAGGTATGTAGAAGCTGTTTGGCCGGTCTTGTGATTTACACACAGGAAGATCTTTCTGCAACTGCCTGGTGATCGACTTACTGCTCCCGGGGATATCTCCCTGCTTATTGGATGGAGGTGATGATGCTGATTGGTTCAGTGAGAAGTGACACAGGACGCTGCATTTGCTGAACAAAGGAATCGTGGTGTCACCCGCCTGGCTGCATAGCATGCCCTGTGCTGTGAAGGGATGACAGCTGATTGGTCCAGATGTTTGTATTTCTTATAACCACCTATAAAGAACGGGCAGCCGCTGTATTTGGGGGCGACATGAAATCTTAACACGTTTTTTTTTTGTTCTTTAAACTGCAGTAAACTTTATTGGTAGTAGACACGTGGACAACAGAGTAAGCAGGCTAGCTCACCCAGACATATCCTTCCACAGGCCGGCGGAGTGACCCACGTGGAGTGACCCCTCCCACGTGGAGTGACCCCTCCCACGTGGAGTGACCCCTCCCACGTGGAGTGACCCCTCCCACGTGTTCCTTTGTTCACTCCTCTGGTGCCAGTAAAGCTTATTGGAGAAAAAAAAATTACCGGGCATTAGAAGTTGTATTTGTGGCCTCACTTGTGGGATGTTTACATATGGTGGGATTAGGGGTCATAGCTTTCCACACCAGTTTAGATCTACTTATAGCACCGACAGGCCACGTACTGCACCGCCAGGCCACCGCGTAACCCACATGTACACTGACGACAGACCGCGAACTGACCTGCGAGGCCACATGCTACACTGACAGATCGCGATACTAAACCACGAGGCCACATGCTACACTGACAGACCGCGTAACTGACCCACGAGGCCACATGCTACACTGACTGATCCCGAACTGACCCGACGAGACCACATGCTACACTGACAGACCCCGAACTGACCCACGAGGCCACATTCTACACTGACAGACCGCGTACTGACCCACGAGGCCACAACATACTACACTGACAAACTGAATACTCTGCTACAGTACCGCATACTGCACCATGAGACCATGTACTGTACCACGAGGCCACATACTACACTGCAAGACCACCTACTGTGCCACAAGACCATACACTGCACTGCGAGACCACACACTGCGCCACAAGACCATAGTCACTGCACCACGAGACCACACACTGTGCCACAAGACCATATACTGCACCATGAGACCGCACACTGCGCCACAAGACCATATACTGCACCACGAGACCACAGACGGGTTGCACAGCAAATCAAAGCTGAATTACAGGAATTCAGCCACTTTGTTAGAAGTGAAGGCACACTATGAGTTCAGGTTTTGGATGGGGGGGAGGGGAGTGTCCCCGTTAGGCAGATTAGCCCCCCCCCCCCCCGTGTGTCCTGTTAACCGTTATTGAAAGAGAATCCTAAATTTTGTGTTGTCCCAGAACAGGAATAGAAGAGAAATCTTCCAAGGGGGACACTAGTTCTGGTGACCAGAGGGATTCCATTAATTTGCAGGGATTTCTTCTTACTTCCTGCTTGGCTGTGGAACAGGAAGTGAAGGGAAATCTCCACAATGGGACACAGATGAAGAAACATCTGCCCCTCTTTACTCTCCAGAATTGGTTGTTTTGCCCAGAGTTCTACTTTAGGTCCAAGAAGCTGCATGACATCTCATGACCGGTATATTGCTCTGCAGAGAGAGACTCCGGGGATCACAGAAGAGAGAAACTCACAGATCCACTATGCCCGCCCCTCCCCTCTGCTGTCTATTCACAGAAGCCTTTGTATTTTGTGAATGTGTTCACTTAATACACAGGCTTCTGTGATTGGGTAGGGAGAGGAGGGGTGGGCATACCCGCTGCAGCGTCTCTCCTGGTCCAGCTGCAGAGTTCAGAAGGATCGGCTGTCTCCCGAGTGTACAATAAAGTTGTCAGATACAAATAGAGCTGGGCCTAGGAGGTGTCATGCACCTCGCTGGACTCCTCATTTGCCTTCATTGTGAAGTGGATGTTGTTGTTGCAGGTGGATCTCCCCTCACACGTTGATCCCGGAGTCCTCGGTGAAGAAGTGCGAGGACGCGCTGTCCCTCATCCACAGTGCCTGGCAGCGCAGTGACAGCCTGTGCCGGGGCCGCTCCTCCCGGGACCCGTGGTGCTGATCGCCAGCCGCGGTGTGTACAGACGATATCAGGACTGTATATCTATACATATGACGTGTATATAGAGGCTGACGTGTATATGTGTATATATATATGCTGCCAATTTGCTGCTTCAACCCCCCCGCGCTCATGGTGGAGGATCTTCTGGACGCACCCGGCGGGGAATGCCCAGCAGTGCCAAGGCTCACCCGGACCTTTTATTAGGAAACTCATCATTACCATCGTCCTTCTGCCCTTCGATCACCGCGAACCCTCCTCTGCCCCTCCCCCAACCCTGGCGCCGGATGGCTCATTTGGTGCTGACTGGACTCTGTAAAACCCTCCCTGGATGTATGGCCGGGCCGGGGGGGGGGGGGGGGGGGGGGGGGGGGGGGGGAATTGGTGTGGGGGATATGTATAGAGACCCGGGGGGGAATTGGTGTGGGGGATGATAGAGGCCCCGGGGGGTAATTGGTGTGGGGGATGATAGAGGCCCCGGGGGGTAATTGGTGGGGGGATGGGGCCCCGGGGGAGGAATTGGTGTAAGGGATGTATAGAGGCCCGGGGGGGGAATTGGTGTGGGATGTTATTTGATGGTGCTAGGAGGGGGTATAATGTGGTGTATGGGGGGGGCCCATGATAGAGGAGCGGGGGGTAATTGGTGTGGGGGAATGATATGAGGGGGGGGGGGTGTAAGGGATGTGATAGAGGAGGGGGAATGTACAATATATGGTGTGGGGGCCCATGATAGAGAGCCCGGGGGGGGAATTGGTGTAAGGGATGTATATAGGCTGGGGGTCAAGGAAAATGTATAGGGAGTTATTTCATGGTGCTAGGAGGAGGGAATAATGAATGTACACATGAGGGGGGGCCCATGTATAGGATAGCTGTGATTGGGGGTGAATGTACATATGAGGGGGGGCCCATGTATAGGGAGCTGTGATTGGGGAGTGAATGTACATGAGGGGGGGCCATGTATAGGGAGCTGTGATTGGGGAGTGAATGTACAGATGGGGGTGCAATGTATGGAGAGCTGTGATTGGTTGCTTTGTGAGCCAGAGATGGTGACAAGGTCCTTGTGTTCTATTGGGGGGGGGGGGTGCATCCTCGGAGAGTATACAGTCAGATGTATATATATATATATAATAAATAGTGAAGTTGGGGTATATGGGGGTGTATGTGTGACATATGGGGGGGGGGTGACAGGATGTGTAGGGGGTGATGGGGGTGTATGTGTTGCATATGGGGGGGTGACGGGATGTGATGGGGCTGTATGTGTTGCATATGGGGGGTGATGGGACTGAATGGATATAAATCTATAATATACAAGCTCTGTAGGGTGTGTGGAGGGGGGGGGGGCGCTCTGTAGGGTGTGGAGAGGGGGGGGGGGCGCTCTGTAGGGTGTGGAGAGGGGGGGGGGGCGCTCTGTAGGGTGTGGAGGGGGGGGCGCTCTGTGTATCTATACATCAGATTATATACGGTGTCGGGGTGTGGGAGGAGTCGGGACGCACACATCGATCGGTTTATCACACCCTAACAATTGGCTGCTTTTAGGTTCTCTTGGATTGGTACAGATGCGGTTCCTGGTAGGCGGAGCTTGTGGTGGGATTCCTCCTCTGATGTCAGAACTCTCCTATGGTGGCCTGTTGGGTCTGGGACACGGAGCAGTTCCTAATCCCCAGGGCCCCACCCTGGTATACCCAGGCAGGGATGGAGTGCGCCAGGGATGTAGCGTACGACAGAATGCCCAGGCGGGGGGGATATAGTGGGTCCCCTGGGATGCCCAGGTGGGGGGGGAATATAGTGGGTCCCCTGGGATGCCCAGGTGGGGGGGGGGGATATAGTGGGTCCCCTGGGATGCCCAGGTGGGGGGGGGGGATAAGTGGGTCCCCTGGGATGCCCAGGTGGGGGGGGGAATATAGTGGGTCCCCTGGGATGCCCAGGTGGGGGGGGGGATATAGTGGGTCTCCTGGGATGCCCAGGTGGGGGGGGGGGATATAGTGGGTCCCCTGGATGCCCAGGCGGGGGATGTAGTGCCTTCTGTGTTTATTACACTTTATCCTTTGAACTCTTTATTTTCTGCCTTTACTGATGCTGCTGAGGGGGATTGCGGGGGGCTGCTGAGGGGGATTGCGGGGGGCTGCTGAGGGGGATTGCGGGGGGGGCTGCAGACCATCTTCCTTGTAACAGAGATGAATGTATTTTGGTTGGTGGAGTGGGGGAAGGGATTGTAGGGAATGGTGGGATCTCTATGGCGTGGGGGAGGGGATTGTAGGGAAGGGCGAGATCTCCGTGGAGCGGGGGAGGGGACGGTAGGGAATGGCGGGATCTCCGTGGAGGGGGGACGGGGGACGGTAGGGAATGGCGGGATCTCCGTGGAGCGGACGGTAGGGAATGGCGGGATCTCCGTGGAGCGGGGGAGGGGATGGCGGGATCTCTGTGCCTCCATTCCGGCTTCCTAGAATTGCCCGCCTCCACGTCGATCGTTCCTGGCCGAACCTCCGGATTATCTCCAGGCGCAGAAGGATTGGGATACAAAGCGAAGGCGATTTAGAGGCGCTGTGACCGTCCCCCCCTCCCCCGCTGTGCGGCTGGAGCTGCTCCATCGTTTTTACTGAATAAAGAATTTGTTGCTATGGTGATATTATTCTATAGATTTTATATAGAGAGAAATATTCTCAGCGCCGGCGCCCTCTACAGGCGATATTAAAGTACAGCAGCCTGGTGCAGCCCCCCCCCCCCCCCCCCCGGAGTTGTCTGAGGTTTGATGAGGTCACACATTCCCCTCTTAACACGACCTCCACCACATGAGAGAGCCAATCACCGCATTGCTGCCTGCACGACGCCCCGCCCATGAGGTTCCCTATTTATTTAACCCTTTGCACTGACTGCATGGCGAGAGTCGACTAAGCTTTTCCATAGTAATGGATGTTAATTTGCACATGTGGGGAGGGTGTGGCTTCGCTGTGGGCGGAGTCTGCGGGCGGGGACTATCAGATCGCACAGGACTAACCTATATGCACTTTGTTTGCTGCGCCTCTGTTCTGTTGACACCTCCGAGCGTTAACCCCTCATGTCCTTCTGCGTCTTTTAATGTTTTTACTGAACAGAAATGGATGGTTATTACTGGAATCGCCTTTTAAAGGGGACCTGTCACCCAGACACACCCGGGGGAGGGGGGGGGGTCAGCTCACTTCCCAGAGGGATCCCTGTGCGGGATCAGCGAATAACGCCGCCGGGCGCCAATTATTTAACAGAAGCCTCCACCCCCACCCTGGACACCATTTACAGCGAGCTGATTGGACGGCTGCCGTTGCTCGGTGACAGGTGCTCTTCAAAAGGGATTCCCATCGGAAAGTGGCCGCGTGGGAGGCATCAGATGGAAGCTGCCAATGCCAGGGCCATGGCCATGTACTGGTCGCGTCTTGCAGTGAAGCTGAATAGGCCCTGGAATCGGAGCGCAGCTTCCATCTGAGACTTTGCACTCGGGATTTCTTGGTGAACAGTTCTTGTCCTCATCGGGTTCCTGTGTGGATCCGCCTGTTCTCGGATTTTACATGTCAACTAATAAATGGTACCAAATCCACCGGCGTGTCTGTCTTCTTGTCCCGCAGACCAAACCGCTTCTGATAGAAAGTGTCCATTACCCTGATAGGGGCTGAAGATGTAGCCCCTCCCCCTCATTAACATAAATGATTACACAAAATCTTCATTTTCATGACAGGCTTCATCAATGACATCATCACTGGGTCTCTGTGCAGTGCAGGCAGATCATGGCTGATGGGAGGGGCCTGCGGCGTGTCTGTCTTCTTGTCCCGCAGACCAACCGCTTCTGATAGAAAGTGTCCGATTTCCCTGATAGGGGCTGAAGATGTAGCCCCTCCCCCTCATTAACATAAATGATTACACAAAATTTTCATGACAAGCTTCATCAGTGACATCATCACTGGGTCTCTGTGCAATGCAGGCAGATCAAGGCTGGTGGGAGGGGACAGCAGGGAGCTGCCTGAAAATATCACAGCACCCCACCTCGGTACTCCTCTTGAGCCCTCAGTCCTGATGCAAGGAGTGGCCTGGCTCTTGGGAGGAGTTATGCAAATATCAATGATTGGCAGGGTATCATTCTGGGGAATTGGTGCTCCCAGGCAAGTCTGGGGGGGGGGCTGTGACCCCGTCAGTGAAGTGACCCCTCTGCACGATGGATGTCAAGGGGGACCCCATGATAACAAATCAAACCATGGAGTTCAGGTATATGGCACAGGAGGGGCCACATGCTTGTTCACCCTCCCCCCCCCCCCCCACCATCCCAACCAATCCCATCCCCTCCTATTCTGGTATGCCATGCTTGGATGAGGGGTGCTTCGGATTTTGGGGGAGCGCAGTCTTCATTTTTTTTTTTTTTTTTGCGCATGAGGTTCCTAATCAAAATCCAGCCCAGGAAGATTTGGTGAGGAAAACGGTGATCTCCCTGCTGGGAATTCTGCTTCAGGTCCATCGAAAGGTTCTGTTATGGATTTTGAGAGAGGGGACCCCACACAATCTCCTCCCCCTTGTCTACATCCATCTGTCACTCCCCTTTGTTTACACTCATGGTCCCTCTTTGTTTACATTCACTTGTCACTTCCCTTTGTTTACACTCATGCCCTCTTTGTTTACATTCACTTGTCACTTCCCTTTGTTTACACTCATGTTGCCCGCTTTGTTTACATTCACTTGTCACTTTCCTTTGTTAACATGCGTCTTTGTTTACATTCACTTGTTACTCCCCTTTGTTTACACTCATGTCCCTCCTCTTTGTTCACATTCGCTTTTCACTCCCCTTTGTTTACACTTGTGTCCCTCCTCTTCACATTCACTTGTCTCTTTCCTTTGTTTACACTCATGTCCCTCTTTGTTTACATTCACTTGTTACTCCCCTTTGTTTACACTCGTGTCCCTCTTTGTTTACATTCACTTGTCCCCCCCCCCCCCTTGTTTACATCCACCAGTCAGTCTGGAATCAGCATGTAATGGGTGGGGCC